CATCCCTATGGGGGGCTGTGAGGTTGTCCATGTGATGTACAAATCTGTAGAATCACATTGCATTTTAGATGTAGATGGATTTGATATAAATAGATTTCTCATGCAAAGTAGAGAAGAGGCTCTCTCCTGTTCTGCCCTGCAGAACAGAAATGGGGCTGCTGGACACAGAAGCTTGAGACACCAGGGATCACGCAAAAACAAGTCTCCGAGGAATTAGCAGACATAAGTGGGACTCTGGGTTGTCACAAGTTGTGAACTGCTAGTGTCCGAACAAATTATTTCTAGTTTTTCAAGGCATAGGGAAGACCAGCTAACATCTTGTTTTTGTCAATTTAGTGAGGTTAAAAGATTTTTTTGATTAACATAATTATTGTACATATTAATAGAGTATAGTATGACCTCTCTACACACACACTGCATGAACTGATAAAATTGGAGTAATTAGCATTTTGGACAATGATAAAGCTCATTTTAGTTTGGGTGAACAGCTAAGATGTCTTCTACATGTGGACTTACTCCAAACACAAACAAGCACTTGCAAACATGTGTATGTACACACACACACACACACACACACACACACACACTCCAATCATTTCTTTGCTGTTTAGAAGCACCAGCTTATTGTCCTTATCTCAAATGAATGAGTTCGACTAATTTTGATCTCTCCTTTCATGTCATTGAATGGTGAGTTGTCACACATGTTGTTCTGCCTTTCCGGGAAAGAATTGCCTTTTGTTGGTTTGGGGTCATTTTCATCAAGAAGAGTCACCTCCAAGGTGTACAGTCGTTTTAATGGGTAGATCATAGTTGGGGGGCATCTTTCAAGATCTCCAGGATTGGGGAGAGATCCTGCAAGGGGCTGGAGCTAGAACCTTCTTGCCAAATATATGCAAGAACAGGCATCTTTGAATCCATATCTTGCAGACCCTTTGCAGACAAAAACTTCCGGAAGCCACCCATGGAGCTTCTCAGTTTCCTCACATCTTCATTCAAATGTGACCTCTTCTTCTTGACCCTAGATGACCTGTCTGGATGTTGGCCTCCTGGATTTAACAACATTGCTGGCAGCATGGAAAATACCATTTTTAATCTTGATAGCAATCAAGTACATAAATGTGAGTGATAAAGTCTTTTTGAAGGATAAATTTCACAGCAGAGACCATTCAGGTTTCTAAATGATGCTATCGTAATACTTACAGGATGCTAACAGATATCAGGAGATATAGAATTAGGGAAGAATTATAGCTCAACACACCAGAAAGATGGAAAAATCATTCAATCTTGAGTAAAGACTTAACAATCTCTTAGTAATCCATGCTAATTTTAAAAAATACCCTGATTCTTGAAAAGTTCTGTTTAAATCACAAATTTGCAGAGTTATAAAATGCTACATTCCCCCCCTCTTGTTTTTCATAGTCTTAAGTTCCTAGAGCTCAGGAATGAGTCTCATCATCTCTTTCATCTCTAATAGAGCTGAAAGATACAATGTTGGGCCCATCAATAAGAACTGTTTGATATATTGCTTATGTGTATTTTCTCCCGTTCCCCAGCAGTGGAAAACAAATGACAGAGGACCTCATATGAAGATTTTATAGTAGGTAATTGGAATCATCATTTTTCCTTTCTATATAAGTTTTTTTTTTTTTTTTAATGCAAGGTGCCCATAAATAAGGGGAAGAGATGATTTGGGTTCCTTATGGGAACTGGAGTCTTGATACAAATACAAAAGTAGAGAGACTGAAGGTGGAGGGTTGCCCTAATTTTGTTATTGACTTGACATAGATGTGGCATTTAGATATGGTACACATTATCAATAGTACCATCGTTTTTTTGTTTTTTGGGGTTTTTTTTTTTTTTGGTCCTGGGGATTGAACTCAGAGGTACTCAACCACTGAACCACATCCCAGTCAGTCCTATTTTGCATTTTGCTTAGAGACAGGGTCTCACTGAGTTGTTTAGTGCCTCACTGTTGCTGAGTATGGCTTTGAACTCGAAATCTTCCTGCCTCAGCCTCCCAATCTGCTGGGATTACAGGCGTGCACCATTGTGCCCAGCAATAGTACTATCTTTTCAAATACATCTGAAGGTTTCTTTTTATTTTAAACACAATCATACTGGGTGGAAAAGATAAATAGTGATAAGGCAAAAAGTCACTAGTACTAATCTTATGGAAAACATTTTACATAGGTCATTCATTTAATATTAACAATAATATCCCTTGCACAAGAAATTTAGAGAGGGTAGGAAATTTGCCAAAAATTCACATAGCCAGTAAGAGAAAAGCCAGGTTATATCTAAAGCTCCTGTTCTCTCTCTTTATTGGAACATTTGGGCAGATGGCATCTCCTGATTATTCAAAAGTCACCAACATTTAGAAAAAGAATTGCATTCATAAATATGCTTTGTTTATCCAGAATCCTAATACTTGCAACATGTGTCCATAAAATCTCTATTACCACCATCTGAGACAGACCATCTGGGATGGGGGGGCATGTGGAAAGAGTCCAGTTATGGGAGCTTTGGAATCTGGATTTACCTTGTATCATCCACTACTTTGGGTAAAGTAATTAGCCTCTCTGAGCCTCCTGGCAGCCTCTGAGGATTGCATGGGATAGCATGTTGGTGCACCTAGAGCTAGGTGTACATTTAAGCACTCTGCAGAATGTGCCAGAATCTTTAAAATGTTGACACTAATGCGTCAGCAGTGAAACTGATTGCAGAAGTATGTGCTATTGCTCTTAGAGGTGCAATTGTGGGGAACTTAAATCTATGGAACCATGGACGGCAATGAGGGACCTGGCACCCAGTCAGGGAGGTGGAGGCGGGGTGGTTTTGTTGAGGTATTCACCTCCAAGGAAGGAAAACTGTAATTAAGATGAAATGTGAGCTCCGTAAGATTAGAACAGGAAAGACAACTTCATCAAAGATCTTTGAAATACCGGAGAAGGCGGTGAAAACTGCAGGTGATATTTGTTAACAGTATTGTTTGTCCATTTCAGCTTATCAGTCACTGGGTTCCTGTTTCTTAACTGATAAGAAAAATGGGAGGTTTTTAAAGATTGGGTAGCTATTGCATTTTGCATAAAGCAACTAGAGAAATGTAGCAAGTTGAGGAAGAAAGAGCTCGAATAGAACTGGAGTCTGGCTGATGGTGAGTGGGTTCAGGCTATTTTTCAAAAGTGCACTTATTTCACAGGAGATAGAACTTTCCAATACAAAGTTAGATTAAACGTAATAATTGCTATCGTTTTTTTTTTCTTGTGGGAAAAATTGTATTACCAATGGGAAAACCAAGTTGCAGGTTGATGTCGTCCCTTGAAATCATGTTTGTAGGATATAGAACTTTGGTCTAATGTATTGGAAAAGATCTGGTTGAGGGTAGGGAAGAATGAATGGGTGCTTGCAGCATACATCTAGAATGAGCATACCTCAGAATTAGTATTTTTGGAATTCACTAAAATCCAGAAATAGTATCTACTCTGAGGGTGGGAAAGGAAAAAGAACCAAGGAAGCAAGGGATTGCTAGCCACAGGGGTTAGGGAGTTTCATCCATTTATCCATTTACCAGCAATTGACGAAATTTCATTGTTCTCTGTGGTTGAGTAAAACTTATTGTAAATATATACTATTTTTAAAAAATCCATTTCTCTACTGATGGACACCTAGGCTGGTTCCTTAACTTGGCTGCTGGGAACTGTGCTGCAATAAACATTGGAATGCACATTTCCCTTAGTATGCGGCTTTCATTTCTTTGGGATAAATACCAAGTAGTGGGAGAATTGGGTTGTATGATGGTTCCATTCCTAGTCTTTTGAGGAACATCTATACTGCTTTCCATGGTGGCTGTACTGATTTACAATCCCACCAGCAGTGTATTAGTGTACCTTTCCCCCACTTCCTTTCTAGAAATACTCATTATTTGTAATCTCAATGATTGGCATTCTGACTGGTGTGAAATGGAATCTCAGTGTGGTTTTGATTTGCATTTCCCTAATTGCTAAGAATATTGAACATTTTAAAATATATTTGTTTGCCATTTGAATTTCTTCTTTTGGGAAATGTCTATTAAGAACATTTGTCTATTGATTGAGTTATTTGGGATCTTGGTGATAGGTTTTTTTTTTTTTTTGCTTTATTTATATATTCTGGATATTGTTTTCTCCAAGGAGTAGCTGGTCATTATTTTCTTCCATTCTGTAAGCGCTCTGTTCATGATTTTGTTTCTTTTGCTATGCAGAAACTTTTTAATTTGATGCCATCTCACTTATTGATTTTATTTCTTGAGGTTTAGGATTCTTGTTAAGGAAGTTGAAGCCTGTGACAATATGTTGGAGTGTTGACCTTGTATTTTCTTCTAGTAGTTGCAAGGTTTCTGTTCTGATTTCTAGGTTTTTGGTCCATTTTGTGTTAATATTTGCTCAGGGTGAGGATCTGTACATATGGAAAGCCAGTTTTCCCAGGCACCATTTGTTAAAAAGGCTATCTCTTCTCCAATGCATGTTTTTGGCTCCTTTGTCAAGGATTAGAAGACTGTATTTGTGTAAATTTGTCTCTGAGTCTTCTATTCTGTTCTATTGGTCTTCATTTCTGTCTTTATGTGTCTCTATGCCGTTCCAGTTACTTTAGTCTGTAGCATAATTTGAGATCAGGTATTGTGATACCTCCAGCATCACTCTTAGTGTTCGGAATTGTTTCAGCTATTATGGGTATTTTGTTCTTCCATATGGATTTTAGGATTATTTTTGCTAGTTCTGTAAAGAATGTCATTTGTATTTTGATGGGTATTGCACTAATCCTATAGATTGCTTTTGGTGATGTGGCCATTTTGACAATATTAATTCTGCCCATGGAGGTATGTTTCTCTGTAGCTGCAACAGCTCTTTTACCAGATCTTGAGGCAAACTATCGAGCCATTGTCCCAAACCCCCTTATGAACCTTATTATCCCATTTGGCTATTCCATGTATACAGCAGAAGATGGGGGCTATTTTCTGACAACTAAGGACTGAGGGTGATGCAGACCTGCATTTAATCCCTGCTCTTACACTTATTTGTTGCATGACTGTACATCATTCGCTGAACTTTTTAAATTCTTGGACTTCTTACCTTTAATTATAGCCTGTTGATGGTTCTGTGGGTGAAGATCAAATGAATATAAAGTGTTCAGTATGATTGTACTGAGCATACAATAACAACATGTCAGATTTCATTGTTTTTATATTCTTCCTTTTCTACTCTGGGAAATTTTAACTCCTTGCCCTGTAGACAGGCTGAATATGGGATCCTAATGGGAATGTGGTAAGGGATGGGGAGTTTCCAACTTGTCTGGGACACATTTTTCCTTAGCACATTTATGATAAAGTAGCAGTAGCTGTCAGTAATCATCCAAAGGAACTCTCCTCCCTGCTAGCCCCTAAGGTGAGTACTTTCCCTAGATAACATCCTGCCATTCGTATGGTAGTTATGTAAAGTGGGGTGGAAACCAAGATCTGATTGGCTCAGATTCGATGCTTCAGCTGGTGATACTGAGAGTCTCATGGACACACATGTGGTTGGTTTGAGTCCCCAGGACTGTTTCTGATGTCAGGTGTGACTGAGTCCCAGGTGGGAGGGGATGATGCCCTAATGGGAAAAAAAAACCCAAAAACCCCAAACAGAATATACATGATGCCCACTAAAATGTAACTGAGATTTAGACAACTGCTTATCGCCTCTTCCCAAGGTGGGTAGATACTTTTGAATTTCAATACCTGGAGACCCTGCCCAAGACCACCCGTCTTTTGACAACTTCCTGAACCATGATTTAAGGGTGGATGTCAGTGGCTAGTTTTGAGCCCATTCTCAGCCGGGAGTCAAGATTTTTCTCTCCCTCCCGCTCAGAAGACTTGTAGTCAAAGTGGGACACAGGCAGCAAGGACTGAGTCCCCGAGCCCTGGAGCCTCCAGTCTCTGGGCCCCACTGAACCCAACTGAGGCTGCCAGGGTGGGTTTTATGCCTTCTAGGAAGGAACGGGATGACGCGGGTGCCCCTGGGGCTCCTGATTGGTCTCCCTGCTCCTCACTCTCCCTGCACACTTGGGGCCAATCAGCATTTTCTATACGTCCTCTTCACCCTCAGTCCTTAGTTAGCAGAAAATAGTGCCCACCCTCTGCTGCCTGCGTGACTGGAAGAACTCCACAGTGACCACCGCAGGAGTGGCCACTGAAGGTCTCCACTAGGCCACCTGAGCAGCAGCCCCAGGCTCTGAAGGGAAGCACAGAGTCCTGATCCCCACGTTCAAGACAAGTTTCCTCGGGCGTCCCCCCCGTGAGCCTGGAGGTCAGGACAGAGCGGTCAGTTGTGAGTTCTCTCGTCTCTTTTTGAGCAGGACTCTGGTCGTTCTGATCCTAATGTTCAAATTTGCTCCTTTTTTTTTTTTTTTCTTTTTTTGAATGGTGATGTCTAAATTGGAGCTGTTTAGTCCTCTGGCAAGTTTCAGTTAGATCATTCCAGATACAGATACCAACTCTTAAAGACCACAGAAATTATGCATTGGAGGAATTCTCTAGGAAAACCGGCCCTCATGGGAAGTGAATGGTCTTTTTCAAAAGTGATTGACATTAAGATTTTTAAAACTGAGACATTATTAAATCATGGCGATGACACAAGTGACTTTAGAAGGAGTTTGGCATCCACTTTTTTTTTTTGTACCTGTCCTTATGGAATATATAAATTAGCAGAAAAAGACAATAGGTCCCAGACATAAGTAAAAGGTATTCATAAAATACTTCAGATGGTGGAAGACTTGGGCAGAAAACGAAAGGAGTTGAACCTAGAGGTGCTTAACCACTGAGCCTCATTTCCAGCGCCCCTCCTCCCTCTTTTATAATTTACTTTGAGACAGGTTCTCACTCAGTTGCTTAGGGCCTCACTAAATTGCTGAAGCTGGCTTTGAACTTGCCATCCAATGCCTCAGCGGCCAGAGCTGCTGGGATTACAGGTGTGCGCCACCACACCTGGCGGGGCGGGCTCCTGCTTTTATTAAGGGAGTGTTTTGAACAAACGAGAAGTTCAATGGAAACATGAAATTGTGGGGTTTTTTTTGTTTTCTCTGTCCTTCAGTCTCTGTTTATTACTAATCAGATACACAGTTTTTGCCTCAAGCCTGTGAGTCAAACCTCTGGCTCATTGACCCACGTCTTATTTTTTACTTTCATCTTTCTAATAAAAGCATTCTTAAATCTGACAAGGATTCAACTAGGTAAATATATATTTGGAGATGCAATTAATCATTGTGTTTATCTAACATAGTCAATTCATTTATTTTTTTCCATTCAAAACATATTTATTGAGGACCATCTGGCTGGGTATATAAGTTTACAAAACAAATATAAATGACGCATAAATCAAGTGTTCAGTAATGTTAGAAGGCTGTAAACACCATGAGAAAAACATGGAACAGGGTAAGGAAAATCGGGAAGTGTGCGGTTAGCTGGTCAGGTGGTGGGGAGGGGGACCTCATTAAAGGGCAGGAGTGAGCCGCCGCACAGATGCCCAGAAGGGAAAATCCAAGATGGAGGAAAGAGCCAAAAGGGGCATTCCAAGGTGGGAGCAAAGTTGGGTATTCAGGAGCAGGGACGGGGAGAGTGCCTTTCTTGTGGCATAAGGGTGAGAAGCCCAGAGAGTCATGGATCAGAGAGCTGGGGGACAGAAGGTCACGTAGAACCTTCTGGCTCCTATAAGCAATTTGGCTTTTACTGGGTGAAATGAGAGCTTTGAGGAGAGGAGTAACTTGAAAGGTTCACCTTGGCTTCTGTTATAAAAATCAGTCACAGCAGGCACAAGAAGGACCAAAGGGTCTGGTCTGGAGGTCCCTGCAATAATCCAGGTAAAAGATGGTGGTGGCCTGGATCAGCAACAACAGATATACAAAATGGAGAGGTGGCTGAAGTCTCGATATGTTTGGAAAAGAATTCACGGGGATCTGCTGGCCGTTGGGAGTGGTGGGTTGGAGGAAGAGCGGTACAAGAAAGCCTCCAAGGAATTCGATGGATGAGGCTGAAAAAAGATGGAGTAGCCATTCATCAAGAAGAGAAGCAGTGTTGGAAGAAGAGATTTTGATAGGCCGAAGGAGAATTCTGAGGTTGAGACATCTGGAGTGCAGGCAAGTGCG